ATGTATGTCATAATTAATAATATATATATATTTTTTAAACTGTTTGGGGCACAGTAATAGTATTACGGTAAAATATAATTCTCAATTTTTTGTCTTTATGTTTTTGTTTTTTGTTTTTTGTTTTTTTTTTAACATTTATTATTATTGTTGTTGTTGTTTTTTGGAAATAATCTATTCAGAGATTTTACCCTTTAAATAGCTTAGGACGCGTAGCAGAGGGCTTGCCATGTGCAAAAAAATATATATATATACATATAAAAAAGACAAAAGAAAAAAAAATTATAATAATAATAATATTAACCTCAACATCACACAATATTTTATATAATATTTTTTTACACATATATATAAAATAATAATAATAATTAATAATAATAATAATAATATTAATACAATTTCCAAAAAAAAAGAAAAAAATTATATATAAGAGAGAGAAAAAAAAGTAAGGAGGAGATGACAAAAAAAAAAAGAAAAAAAAATTACATAAAAAGGAAAAATAATATTATATATTACGCGTGTGAAAAATACATGCGTTTTTTTTTTTTGTTTTTTTTTTTTCTTTTTGGAAATTAATTCAATAAATACGTAAGCACACCATAGAACAAAATAGAGTGTGGATTGGCCTTTCAGAGTGTGTGGGGGGAGGAGGGGGGAGAGGGTGAGAGGGGGCAGGAGAGTAAAGGAGAAATGAGGGGGGAAGGGGGGAGGGGAGGGGGGAGAGGGGCAGGAGAGTAAAGGAGAGATAAGGGGGGTAGGGGAAGGGTAGGGAAGGAGGGGGAGGGGGGAGGGGGAGAGCTAAAACCCAGGCTGAAGATGTAGTTATATATAAAAAAAAAAAAAAGATGCAAGCCCTCCACAAAAACTATAATAAAAAAAAAAAAAGGATTTCTTGCAAAGGAGGGGGGGAGGGGGTGGTTGAGAGGGGAAATGAGAGGAAAAAAAATAGGAAAGAGAGAGGAAAGAGGAAAGAAAGAGGAAGAGAGAGAGGAAACACAAACAGGGGTATTTGATCCCAAAATTATCTTCGGTTTTGCTTCTTTTTTTTTTTTAAATCGAACCGAAAAAAAGTAAAGAATATAAAACGGGGGAAAAAAAGGAAATAAAATATTTCTCTTTGTTTTTCCTTAAAAGAAATTAAAGTAAAAAACAAAAATCGATATCTCAAAGAAACTGGACATTTCTTCCTTAAATACAGCTCATCAATAAATAATAAAACAAAAATATCTCTCCCTCTTTTTAAAACAAAAGAACTGAATCACCTCTTCATTGTTTTTTTTTTTTTGAAAGATGCCATTTCCTTTCCACAAAGACAAAAAGGAAAAATAATATATATTTTACATTTATTTCTCGAAAGAAGACCCAGCAACGCGCGTCACGCATTTGCAACTTAAATCAACAACGATTTTCTGCTTCAAATTTATAAAAAAAAAAAAAGTCAAGTCATTTCTAATTAGCTTTTTTTTTTTTTACATTCTTTTTTTCCCATTCTCCTATCTTCATTTTTTTTTTCTTCTTAAACCGCATATGTACAACGTAAGCTTAAATAAATAAAGACAAAAACTATATAAACATATCTCCTTAAAAAAAAGGCGATATATAATTTTTTTTTTCTCATCTCAAAAAAAAGATTTCCCTTCCAACAAAAGCTGTTTTTTTTTTTCTCTTTAATGTGAGAGCAAGAGTTTGAAAATTATACATTAACAGCCGGTTAATGTCAAACCTTACGTACTCTCTCTATCCCTGTGTCCCGAATGGAGAGAGGGGGGGAGGGGGGGTGGGGGGGTGGGGGATGTTACATGTACATTGCGTATTACATTTAGTGTATGAGGGAAAAAAATGACACAATTGTACATATATAATAAATCGGAGAAGGGGGGGAGGGGGGGAGGGGGAAGAGGAGGAGGTAGGATGAAGAAGGGAATAGAAAAAAAGGGGGGGGAGGTGGAAGGAGGAGAGAATGATAACTCGCAAAAAAAGAATTAAAAAAAAAAACATTAACAATTTATACTTATTTCTCTCTATACATGTCTGGGTTCAAGGGGGGGGGAGGGGGGAGGGGGAGATAAAAGGAATTAGAGAGAAAAAAAATACAAGAGGGGGGGGGGGGTATATAAATAACATAATCTAAGAGTCCTTAGTGAGAGAGGAAGAGGGAGAGGGAGAAGGGAGAAGAGAGAAAAGAGAGGAGAGAGAGTGAAGGGGAAAGGGAGAGGGGGGGGGAAATAAACCCCCCCCTCCCCTACTTCACTATACACCCCTCTTTCCCACAACCACCCCCTCCCCCCCCTTCCTCCTCCTCACCACAAATCCACTAAAAATATATTACTGTACAAATTACACTTATGAATGCCACTTTCCCCCTCCCCCCCCCCTCCACCATGTAAGCGATGGGGGTAGGGGGTTGGGGGTTGGGGGGTAGGGGAATGAGTGGGGGGGGGGGTATATATATGTATATATACACACCACTACCCACACACCCTGGGGATTTTTTTCTTTTTTAAGTCCCCCTAAACGAAGTCTTTTTTTTATCTCTCTCTCTTTCACTTAAATAACGTCATTAATATTAAATAATTATATGTAAAAAAATAAGGAAGGCAAGACAGTAAAAGAAATTGAGGAGGGGTTGGGTCTTCCCCTCCCCCCCCCCCCCTTTTCAACCCTTTCCTTCTCTCCAATACTTTAAATAAAATAAAGATCATTTTTCTCTGTTCTTTTTTTCAGTGTCTCTCTTGTCTTTTCAGCAAAACAAAAGGGTGGGGGAGATAGATAGATAGATAGATAGATGAGGAGGGAGAGGGAGAGGGGGAGAGGGAGAGAGGAGGAGGGAGAGGGAGAGGGAGAGGGAGAAGGAGAGGGAGGTAGATAGATAGACAGATAGATAGATGGGAGATTGAGAGAATTAAAATAAAAAAAAGGATCCGGTACAAACAGGCGCGAAATATTAATCTTATCTTTATTGTTTCATGTTTTTTCTTTAAATAACTATACAAAAATATAATAATATAATTGAACTATACACGAAAATCGGTGAAAACGAAGCTGCATCTTTTTTTGTTTGTTTTGTTTTTTCTTTTCATATTTTTTTTATTCATTTAAAATACAGTGTGACCTTTTTTTCGACTTTCACGTCTATTTTTGTTTGTTTGTTTTGATTGTTTCTTTCTCTTGCTTATCTTGTTAACCTTACGAATAAAAAATATAATTAAAAGAGAAACTTCTTTCAACCGATTGGGAGGGGGGGGAGGGGGAGGAAGGAAAGTAGGAATAGGAGAAAAAGAATGAGAAAGAGAGAGAGAAAGAAAGAAACAGAGAAGAGAAAATAAAGAGGGGGGAAAAACACAACAAGGCTTTTGTAGACCACCCCCCACACACACACAAAAAGAGAGGGGGGGGGCGAGGAAAATAATATATATATATATATTGTCCTTGCATGAGACTTTTTACTTCTCATGAAAATCAATGCCACAACCCTGGGATTGGGGGGGAAGGGGGGGGGGGAGTTAAAAAGTGGGGAGGAGGAAGAAGAAAGAAAGGAAGAAAGAAAGGAAGGAAGAAAGGAAGGAGGGAAGGAAGGAGGGAGGAAGATGGAAGAGGGACGAGGGACGAGGGAGGAGGAAGAGGGACGAGGGAGGAGGAAGGAGGAAGAAAAGGATGAGGAAAAAAGGAAGAAGGAAGAAAAAAAAGGAAGAAGGAAGGGAGGGGGTTTTAGAAACAGGTTCATCATCATCTCCTGGGCCATCTTTTTTGTTTATATTAACATAATAAGGCTATATCTATCATAAAACGAAAAAAAAATATATAATATAAGAAAGAAAGAAATGGAGAACATTTAAAAATTAAATTAAGGGAAAAAAAATTTGTTTTTAAAGGAAAGAATTCGGGTTTTTCCGGCCAACACTTGGCAGACAAGTATAATATATACTATACATATATAATAATAATTATTATTATCGCAATAAAATTAAGAACAATAATTACAATCGAGTGAAACAAAAGGTAACTGCCTCTGGACAAGGTCTTTCAGAGGGGGGGAAGGGGGGGAGAGGGAAGGGGGTAGAAGGGAAGGGAGGGAGGGGGTAGAGGGGGGGGATGGAGGCGTAAAGCATTTTCTTTTTCTTTCTTTTCTTTTCAAAGGAAAGGAGGTCAAACACTTCTAAAATAATAATAATAATAATAATAATAATAATAATAATAATAATAATATTCATCATCATATTCATAATTGGGAGAAAAATGAGATCTTTTTTTTTTTTTTTTAATCGACTCAAAAGTAAAAAATAAAAGTTTATTCTTCTGTAAGTGAAATTCTTTTGTTTGTTTGTTTGTCTGAAAGTCGATTATGACAAGTACAAGCAAAAAAAATGAAAGAAAGATAGGGAGAAAGAGAGACGAAAAAGGAAAATAATAATAAAAAAAAGTCACAGAAAATAAATAAAATAAAAATAAAAAAATAAATTAACTAGATTACATTTGGGTTCTGAGGGGGGTAGGGGGGCATGGGGGAGGAAAAATGGACGTGTGGGGGGGGGGGGGGGGAAGGAAGGAGGAGGAATATTCAGAAAAGAAAGGGGAAAAGCACAAACAGAAAAAAATAATTACAATAAATAAAAGAAAATACAGAAACGACGAAGCTTTAAAAAAAAAGCCTTCCCACACAAGACGAAAAATAGGTGGGGGTGTGGGGGAGGGAAAGGGGGGGGGGGAAGAGAGAGATGGAAAAAAAAAAATAAAGAACAGAAGAGGGGGAAGGAAAAAAAAAAAAGGAAGAGAAGGGGGGGAGGGAGAATATAGGATTCAAAAATCATAAGTCGAAAAATAAATTTGATTGTCACTGAGCATAAAGACATATAAAGAGTCTCTCTCCCCTCCCCCCCACGCCCAACACCCCCCCCTTACAGGTGAGAGGGGGAGAGAGGGGGTGCAGGAGGAGGAGGAGGAGGAGGTGGTACGAAAGGTGGGGTGGTAAGGGGGGGGAGGGCATTAAAATAAATCGGCAAACATAAGTTAATAACAACGCTTTATATAAAAACTGAAAAGATATACATATATAAAGAGATAGATATAAAGATAAGATATATATATACTTATATATTTATAATAGATTGCGAGTGCTCTACAAGGTACGGGGGGTAGGGGGTAGGGGGCAGGGGAGGGGAAGGGGGGGGAGATTGAGGGAGGGACGGTCAAGGAAAAGGACATGGGGGGGTAGGGTGTGGGGGGAGGGGGAATGAGAAGCGTCTGCCTTGGACTTTAAAAATAAAGGGGGGGGGAAGGGGGAGGGGAGGTGTTGGGGAGGATAAACTGAATGGGGTTGGTGGGGAGGCTAAGGGGGAGGGGGGGGGAGGAAGGGAAGGGAGGGAAGGTGGGGGGGGGGGGGAATTAAGCGTCCAAGACGGCAGTAAAGAGTTAAACAACACGATCCTGTTATGGCAACTAGATATAGTACATAGATAAATTATTCTTTTTTTCCTACTTCACGCAAATAAATAAATTACATAAATACAAGCAAGTTTCCTTCGTAATTACACAAAAAAACAGAGGGGGTGTCAAATGAAAACTTTGTTCTGTACAGCAGCAAAAAAATGGGAAAAGTTTTACACATAAAGAGGCTTTTTTCTTTTTCGAAATCCCTCTCTTTCTCTCTCTCTTGCACACGCTTTTCTCGCCTCCTATCCCTTTCTCCCTTTTTTCTCTCTCTCTCTTCTTCCTTCTCTCTTTTTCTCCTCTCCGTGCTCTCCTTCCTTCGCTTCTCCTTTCTCTCTCATTCTCTCTGTTTCCACCCTTCCTCTTTTTTTTACTTCTCTCCACGCCCGTCCTTATCCCCGTCGACGCCTCACGCCCGCGACGCCGCCCAGTTACATAAACTCTAGGTTGCGGGCGGCTGTTCCATTCTCTTCACTTTGTCGTGCCGCCCCAGTATCACAAGCAATAGATGGGTGGGCGGGCGCGGGCGTGGGCGCGGGCGGGGACGGCGCACGGGCGGAGGGCGAGGGGGGAGGGGCGGCGAGAGGGGCGGAGGCGGAGGCGGAGAGCAGCGAGAGAGGGAGAGGCGGCGAGGGCGAGGGAGGCCGGGAGAAAGGTGGGGGGGGGGGCTTCCCTCCGCACAAGGGGTGATGAACAGGTCTCGTCCGCCACGCCCGCCCTCGGTCTTGGTCCTGGCAGGGCGCAGCGTGGGCGGAGGGGGGCAGCGGGGGAGGCGGAGGCGGAGGGCGCGGGGGCGGGCGCGCGGGCGTCGACGGTCGTTGAATAGACTAGTCCCGGGCGCTGCTGACGCTGGCCCGGGCGCGGGGGCCCTTCCGTCAACGCCCGGCTGAGCGCCGCCCTTCAGGCCCTCCGCCAACCCGCCCTCCACTTCCGGGACGCGCGCGGGCGTGCGGACGCCGTCCGCAGCTCAGCCGTCCCGTCGTCCTTGTGCCTCGACGCCCGTGACTATCACACCGAACTTGAGCTGTCGCGGGCGCGTCGTGGGGCGGCCGCCTGTGTCCTCGCGGGCGGGAGAGCGTGGGCGGAGGCGTCCTAGTCGTGCACGCAGAGCTGCTCGAAGATGGGGAGGCGCAGCGAGCGCGAGATGTCGAGGGCGGAGGCGACGGGCGTGGGCGAGGTGGAGTGCGAGGACGACGCGAGCGACAGCGAATCCAGGTCGCCGGCCAGGGACTCCACGGGGCTGACGGGGGGCGTGTCCAGCCCCGCCAGCGACAGCAGCGTCCCCTCCCGCACCATGTCGAACTCGCTGAGGGCGCGGCCGTTGCCGCCGCTGCAGGAGGAGCCTCCGGGCGAGCCGGGCCCCGCGGCCATGCCGGTGGAGCCGAGGCCCACCGTCAGGCCGTCCAGGAAGCTCTTGGCGCCCGCCAGCCCGTAGCTGCCGCCGGCGAACAGCGTGAAGGAGTCGTCGAAGAAGGAGCCGGCGGAGGACGTGGGCGAGCCGTGGAAGGACGCGGGCGGCGACGGGGACTCCGCCGTGGAGCCGAGCGGGCCGCCCATGGCCGAGCTCATGTGGAAGACCTGCTGGCGGGACAGCGGCGCGTGGGCGGGGAAGGCGGAGCCGCCGAGGGAGCTCTTGGGCGAGAGCGGCGCGTGTGAGGCGGAGCCGGGGGCGCCGGCGGTGGAGCCGCGGCGCTCCTCGGCGTTGTGGATGAAGTGGCAGCGCGGGCCGTAGGGGCAGAAGCCGATGGTGTGGAAGGTGCGGCACAGCTCCGTCTTGTACTTGGGGTGCCGCGTGAGGGTGCGCAGCTCCAGCTGGCCGTGCGCGAACTGGCACTTCTCGCCGTACTTGCAGTGGCCGTTCTCCTCGAAGGGGCGGCACAGCTCCGTCTTGTAGCGCGACGAGTTGGGCTGGCGCGCGTCGCCGCCCTTCACGGGCTCCGAGTGCGAGCGGTCCAGCCGCCGGTGCAGGTTCTGTGGCTCCATGGGCGCGAGGGAGGCCTTAGCGGCGTGGGCCTGCTGCAGGAGCTGGGCGTGGGCGCTGGAGGTGGGGATGGCGGCCCCCACGGGCGTCGAGTTGCGCTTGCTCAGGGGCAGGTGTCCCCCCACGGCCTTGTGGTCTACGTCGCGGCCGTCCCAGCGCGCGCGCAGCACAGT